TCTCGTTCCTTTCGTTCCTGTCCAACCGCGTCCTACTTTGAGACCAGGAATTTTCTATTTCCTTGGGTATCGCAAGATCAACGCGAATTCCTGGCATTGATGCCCGAGGAAAAAGAATGCTCTCGACTCTTAAATTGTCTTTATCAATCTTTCAGTAGGTGAGGCGCGTGAGAAATTGACATCGAAAAAACGATCAATGGCGGCGAGCGAAAGCGTGCGTCGCATTTGAATGCTGGACTGCAAAATTAATCATATTTTCGACCTTCAACTTTTTATATGTTATTCGGGATAGATGCTTACGATATAAGTATTCCTTTAAACTTGTGGCGGATTAAATACTCGAGCAAAACAGGAGAAAGACATTGTCTTTCGAATTGTGATTAATTGTGTGTAAATATCCTGAAGACAACTTTCTTGGAAAACTTTCTTTTTTTCTTAAATGTTCCATCGAGAACTTTGAATATTTATAAGAAAGTTGGCTTTGCAGCATTCTTATTGACTGATATTTCCGTTTAAAATATAAATTTATTTGCGAAAACACGCTAAAAATGAAATATATTTGCGATTGTACAGAGAAAGAGCACGCAAGGATTCTATAAAAGGATATGTGCAACATATGTGTAACATATAAACTTTATATTGCATGTATATTCTATTAAATTTTATATAAATTTTGTGAAAAACATAATATTAAAAATCTATATAATTCTGTGAAATTATAGTAAAATATATCATATATAATTTCATCAGTTTGATTATTTGTATTATTAGCAGAATAATATAAATTTATTTCAAATAATTTGTTTCTTATCAAAGTTTTCAAGATTTTTCATTTTTTATTTTTTAAATAAAAACACTAATCAAGATAATTAAATTACACAATTGACTTGTGAAAAACATTACAAAAGTATTCAATAGTAACTCAATAATAGCTCAATTAATAATGTAAACGAGGAACGAAAATAATGCATTTCTCTATAAAAAAAAATTCATGAATAAATCAAAGATTAAATCAAAGTTTCCCTTTTCTTTCACTTTATGTTGTAAAACCGCACCTGAATGCAAAGAGAAAAAATTTAGTGATCCTCGAACAATATTTTCGGGAAAATAACGATCACAATATACCTGTATAAATTTCAATGTTATCTATATCGATAAAAACAGTCTCTCCAACAATCAACCTTAACGAAGACATAAAATACACTGAAAGTGACGGTTATAAAAATATGATACGTGGATTCAATTAACGATAACTTTTTGAAAAAAAAAACTAAAATAAACTTTCTTTTCAAGAAGAACACGTATCAATTTTTTGATATTGAGGGAGAATTATTATTATTTCGCACTTGTCTATCATATATTAATGAGAATCGAGAATAAATAACTTTCATTTTAATCTTGTAGGTCTATATTTTTAAGAATGGATTGATTAATCTCCAGGACTTTCGCAATATTCCAAGGTAAAGAAATGTCAATTGGGGAAGGAACGAGCACACAAAATCAGTGGCGGAAAAAACGGTGGGACTCCACGTGTCTCCAGCACTCTCAATGTCTCTTCGAGTACTTTTCCAGCGTCTCTCGTTTCTTTCTTTCTCTCTCTCTCTCTCTCTTTCCTTCTTCTCTAACAAGAAGAGACATTTGGTGCAGACCATTACCCCAGTCCTGGGTGCCATCGGCCATCAGCAGCGCGTTAAAGCCGCTGCAATTACAAACTCCGACAGTCTCATCCCCTTTATTCCATCCTGTACTCCTTCGTCCTCCTCTCACCATCCATCCCCACGTTCCTTCCACTCTTTCTCTCATTTTCCCTTTTCGAACCCTCGCTCGCTTTTCTCGCTTCGCTCGCGCTACGCCGCCGCTCGCCGGCCCCATTTACATTTGCCCACTACTCTCGTAAAAGTAACTTTGTAACCCGTGCGGGCAGTAGTATCCGAGCCAGGATTCCGTCCTCTATTCCAAGGAAATTACATGTCGGTCGGCACCGCAGGCTCGAAAGAAGATTTCCCTTATCAAGCGCTGCTTCCTTCACCACCCCGACTCGTTCTCCACCGCATACTGAATGTCCACTTACACCTAGCAATCAACCCCTTCTCCGTACAATGATACGCACATAAATAACATACAAAATTTCTAATATGTTTTGTAGATAAATTGCTAGTTTTATGTCTCATTTAGGGCTAATGTCCTTTATCAACGACAATATTATTCGATATTGTGGACAAAAACGAAAAATACATACAACAAACACGAAAAATTCAAACCATGCTAGAATGCTATAATGAAAGATATAGAATATATGTATATTCTTGCACGATTTTATGTTGATGACAAAATTATCCTTCTTTATTTCTCTTAATTTTTAATTGTTGAAATATAAAGAAAAAAATATAATATTATATTTTCTATTATATATTTATATTATAAAAATATATTAAATAATTCTACATATTTCTCTTTCAACAGTTACAACTGCATTATAACCACTTATTGACATATAAAAAATATAATATTAAGTTTATTTAATAATATAAATTATTAAAATAATTATATTCTGCAAGAATATGTTATGCGATGTGTTTCAAATCTTATCTGAACTTTCTAATCGAATGCATCGATTTTCGATATGCTTGAAATGCACTGAGTATTTTAAAATATCAAAAAAAAATGTAGAAATACAAATACACACAGATACACACTTAAATGAGCGAAGAAGTTTGAACATCGCAGCGCATCAGCTAGAGTGCTCCGCGAAAATCGTTTGAAAAGTATTGGAATGGCTGCATGATCACAATGTTTACTCGTACCTCTTGAATGCGACGTATCAACCACTCTGGAAAGTTGGAAATTTCTGGTATTTGGTGAAATTGTCGCATCGCAAATGTCGATCCATCGATATTCTATGGCCGCTTAGAGCGATTAAATCATCGCATGCAACTGCCTGCACCGAAGCGACGTCAGATTTTTCAGGTCAATTTACAGAGCACTTAATCGAGGACGAGCATATGTAGAGTCGATGGTGACACGCGTAATGAATCGTTTACGTATATGAACGAAACAACACGTTTTCAGATAAGCTTTAACTTCTTCGTAAAAAATTTTTATATCCGAAGTATATTAAGAGTGTATTAAATGTAAACTCTTAAGATCGATCTATAAAAATAATGAGCCAAAAATTAAACTGATGAGAATATTATTAACGACAATATAATCATTGATAATTAATTAACAAGATAAATATTATTAATTTATATTATTTAATTTCTTTAATATTATTAATATTATTAATTTCTTTAATATTTGTTTCACATATAACTTATATAATAATTTAAAAATCTAATTAAAATTTAAAGCACGAGATTTGTCTCTCCTACTCATTTTCGCGGTATAATCGCATTTTGTTTTCACGGAATGCAATATTTAAATTTATCACAGCGAAATGCTACGAACTAAAAATCTGTATCATATTTGTGCACGCCAGACACGTTCATTCCAAATCCATCCATGAAATGGACCAGCACATATTTTTCCAGAAGACAGGTGATGATTGTTATTCCGTTCGAGAAGACTCTCTTTAATCGATGATTTATCTCGCGAGGTCAAGTAGATAACCGTTTTAGTTTTTATACTTCTTTCGCGCCAATATCCCACGGTAGCCACGATTACCGTTTCATCGAGCACCGTGGAATCTCTCTTTAAGTCCAGCGGCTCAAACATTTAACTTCCGCGATAATGGTAACGGTGTCAGTGTGATCGGCGATTCGATATAGCATATCGAAAACCGGGTTATACACAGAGATCATTGGTGGTTCGATTGCTAGGTTCAGCAAGTAATACGATGATACCGCAGGGATTACAAACAGAGAGCTACGAATTTATGGTAGTCGAAAACATTCGTATCCTCGACAAACTAGTTAGACTTGGCGTACGTTCATATATGTATGCGTTTTATTTTATAAAGCACGGTGCATTTTTATATAAATGTAAACCGTAATCTTCTTTTACTCGAAATATCGGATGTAATCAGATCGTTCGAGCAGAATCAATGCTTGAAGAAAATATCGGAAATGAAATATTTTCAAAAACACGCTGATATTAAAATATGATTATCCTGCGAAAATGTTAATGAAAGAGGAAACTTGGACTGTTATCCTCTTAAATGTTAAAATAAATTAATCTGGCGAATACAAAAAATTCATGTGAAAAAATATGAGATAAATAAATACCATATTATATACCATAAAATAATATCGCGCTTGGTGTTCAGGATAAGGAGATTTGACCTTCCACCTTATCTCGTGAGAATTGCATCTTTGTACCTCCGTAACCTCGGCACGCGAATCGAATCTAAGAAAACCGACTAGCGACTAAAACTCATGAAACTGCCGGCAAAGTTTTAGTTGGATTAGTAACTTAGTGCGTGCTTATTGTCTTAACGAGTATCTATAATATTTCCGAGAACGTGACCTCTTTGCGGTTGTTCTAAGGATGAGGGTAAGCCACATGCGCTGGCTACTTGGCTAATTGCATTAAATATCCAAGTAAGCGAAACTATATAAGATAACAATTAATTTCTTATTTGCCCTGATACGTGTTCTATTTTATCTCATTATCGTGAGCTATCGACTAGCATGTACAGTAAAATATTTTATCGGTTAAAAAAATCACAAAGGAAGAGAAGGAACTTCTTTCGCAAGAATATTAGGCATTTGTCTATTTCTGACTTCGTTAAAAAGAACGTTAAGAGCAATATGTGCGAAATAGTTGCAATAGAAAAACGATATAATAGATATACTAGATCAAAAAATAAATCCAAATTTCACAGAGAGCACGATTGTAAAAAGCGAGGAAGCCTCGCTAGGCAGTTAGTGAGTTGGCTGATAGCAAGGATAGTTGGTGAAATCGTAGAATACCGGCTCTACGCGTCAGTACGCTGTCAGAGGACGCAAGCGCGCTCGCGCCTCTTATCGAGTTCGAGAGCAAAAGCGACGGCTGCCGGTAGTGGTGGCGAGGGCAATAGTGGTGGTAGTGGTGGTAGTTACATATCCGTACACAGGACTGATATATATATAGAAAGAGAGGGAATATACGTACGGCAAAGAGGGTGAAATGGTTGTAGGTGGCGGCACACAGCCGAGTGTCGGAAGATAGAGGGGAACGAGATGAGGGTGCGAGAGGGAGAGAAGCCAGCGGAAGGGTAGGTAGGTAGGAAGATGAAACGCAGGACAGAGGGGAGGGGAGGAAAGGAGCGACGCGCGGAGGGTGGCGGGTGCAGCTACGAGTCGCGAGCGCCGCAGTGTTTGTCAGTCCTTCGTATGGACATCACGTTCGATGAGACCGATAGTACTTGCCGGTATTGGCATTTCGTATATATATATATATATATATATCGTATATATATATATACATATATATATAATCTATACGTCGCTTTTGGCGGCATCCATCATTGTCGATAGCTACCAACGTCGATCGTGCAACGTCAATTCCGTCCCGTAGATGAACCCGCGGCACGCGTTGTCGCGATTCCCGATATCGTCGTCGTCTCGTCACTTTGCCCGTGAGCAGACGAGCGACGTCGTGAGATCCTCCTGGACAGCGGACGAGATGTGAAGACGTCGCCTTGGAAGCGATGTGGCTTCCGTTAGTGCTGCTCGCCTTGATGGCGAGCGGTTCCGCCTGTCCGGACCTTTGCGAGTGTCATCATCAGAATGGTATCAAGAGCGATTATGCGCCGATTTTGTTAGACGTAACGTGTCGTGGACGCGTACCCGGTCTATCGGAAATACCCATGGGAGTAAGAAGTTTCTCGGTAAACAGCGTCGAGGGAAAGGACATCGGTCTTCTTCTGGACGAACTGGAGAGCGCCGATCTAGTGAACAATTTCGGGATGATCGGTAGTCCGGGTAATAATCTAAAGATGAATGACACATCGGGGAACGATACATCGTCGGAGAAACTTGCGGACTTAGCAACGGCAGAAGCACTGCCGTATCTAATCGAATTTGCGGTGACAAATTGTTCGTTAGTGTCATTTAACACGTCGTGGCGCGGTCTTGAACGCTTGAGGTCGCTGAATTTATCGTGCAACAATTTACCGCGAATAAAGGACACGCTAATGATTCACGTGATGAATCTAAGCGAGCTGACATGCCTGGATTTATCGGACAATTCTTTATCGGATATTAGTGACGATTCTTTTAGGACGCTCATCGGTCTCGTGCGTTTGAGCTTACGTAAAAACGCGATCGGCATGGTGGACGAGAACGCGTTTTGCGGTTTGGACCGGCTGGAATTTCTCGATCTGTCGGACAACAGGTTGGCAGACTTGCCGGATAGCGCGCTCACGCCGTTATATTCCCTGCAGAAACTCGATTTAAGCGGTAACCAGTTACAAGTTTTGGGCGCCAGGTGGTTCGAAAGTCTCGACAGATTGAGAGAACTCGACGTTTCGCGAAATGGATTGGCCAGAGCGGCCTCAGGAACGCTGCAACCGTTACCGGGACTATCTGTTTTGAAACTCGCGGAAAATCCGCTAAAAGAGAGGGATGTATCTCTATTATTGGGTACTGGAAGAAGATTGGAGACGGTAGACGCATCTCGAACTGGACTGGCGAGAGTTCCAGCCGCTTTAACGAGATCAGTCAGGGCGCTCAGACTTGCCGGTAACAAACTGACTACCATTCGCAGCGGCGACTTGGACAGTTATCCCTTGCTACGCATGCTAGATATTGCCGACAATCGTTTGACGGATATCGAAAACGATGCTTTAGGACGATTGGAGGTTTTAGAGGAGCTCGATCTGTCTGGAAACGCACTTTCGAAAGTACCAGGAAGCTTGCCAAGTAGTCTCATGATGCTTAAGCTTCAACGAAACGTGATAACCGCGCTAAAGCTTGACGATCTCAATGGATTGTATAACTTGCAATCGCTAACATTGAACGATAATGACATTAGCGAGATCGAAGTAGGCGCATTCGGTCAACTGCCTCTGCTCACCGAACTGGATCTATCCGATAATCCTATCAAAGCGTTATCAACTAATACTCTAAGTGGGCCGAGTAATCTGGCCAAGCTCCGGATGTCGGGTCTCACATCGCTTCATCGACATCAGGAAGAACAAAGTGATATGGCATTCCCTGTCCCGACCCCGGAGAGACTAATAATGTTAGACGTGTCGCGTAGTCCGGTTCTTGCGGAACAATTATTGGCGGATGACGCTGCACTGTCCGCCTGCAAGAGTCTGGTCGAACTAAATCTTTCGGCGACCAACATCGGTACCGTTAGATCCGATCTCGCGTTTATGCTGCCGCAACTGCGCGTTCTTAAGCTCGGCAAAAACAATTGGAATTGCACGGCGGATCTCTACTGGCTGGGCGAATGGATTAGACAGCACCGCGAATCGAATCAACAATCGAACCAGCCGGCTCGATGTTTCAGTCCGCGGAAATTGGCGGGATTATTTTTGCACGAGCTGCCACCACCGCCGAATTCCATTTCCACGATCACGGAAACCGTCGCGACGACGAGAACTTCGATTACCGTATCTGTCATCTTCACGCTCGAACGTACATCGCCTACTGATCAGTCAAACGTCACAATGTCTTCCAATATTAAAGGTGCGAATTTTCGTCGCAACATCACGGATTCTCCAGAGTTATTTCCCATAAACGCGAAAATGGAATCAAAAATTGAAGGTGACTCGAATGTTCTCTCGTCCACGAAAACCTCCATTACGTCAAAAATGCCAAAAAAGCCACGAATCTACGAGGCGCCGACGTCCTTCCGTAACGTAACGTCGTCAATCACGACGCGAACGAGCAGGGAACCGGGTCGAAAGAGCGATAAAACAAATCGTACCTCGATGGATCAGAATTTAATCAAGCACGTCGTCATCCCCTCGGCTTCTCAAGCACCGCAGGACCCCAAGCTATCCATTATGGGAATGGAAGACGCGGAATCGCATCCGCAAACTTTCGATAATCGGGCCGATGGCGAGACGCGAAAAAACGAAACGAGAAAACTTGCCGCGTCAGGCGTCAGTGAGATTCCTTCGTCGGCGGCGACTTCGCACGTGGAAGGAAAAACGATCGAGAGGTACTCGGACAGAATGGATAATTCGACGAAGGAGAGCGCGGTATCGGACGATTCGAAAACGATAGCGGAGGAATTGAATAGCCGGGCGACCGATTCAGCCGGCGCCAGAGTATCCGAGGCTCTATCCGGTGCTCATCCTGGGATGTTGGTGCTGGTCGGTGCAGCTCTCGGCGCTGTCGCGGCGTTGACCGTCGTCCTTTCGCGAAGAGCAAACGTGCATCGGACGGATCGGTATCATCGCCACGAAAACATCGAGGTGCACACTCTCACACCTACCGCAGAGCTTTGGTGACCCGAGTCGGAATATGTTCGTCTGTTCGAAAGGGACAGGCAATTGGACATCGAGAATCGCGATCGAGAAACATCGTCGACGCTGCCTCAACAATCACGAAGAAAGTCACAGCTGATCGACGTGTGTTTGAAAAAAATTTTCAAGTAACAAGCGCAATATGTCGCTGATGAAAAGTGTGCATCTTGTTATTGTGACGGGATCTAAATGGATCTGCCGAGCACGATAACTGAAGTGTTAATCAGAAAGTTGGAAGCATCGTCCTGACTGCGGAAACCACTGAGAAGAGAACGGGCGACTAAACGTCGAAGTTGGGAACGAGATACTCCGCCGAGTTAATCCGTATCGCTTCGGAAACCGCCAATATGTTGCGGATCACGAGGTGCAATATCTAAAAATAATAAATTATTCAATCGATAATTTAAATCTTCTGTAAATAATAAAGAGAAAGGCAGATAATATTGTCGAGAGATTACCGAGAATTTAAAATTCATAATCGGAGAAAGATATTCATACACAGATATAAATAAAAAATAGTGTTATTTACAAAATCAGTTTCTGTAATCATGTATCTGGCTTATTTTTTGTAAATCATGAATAACCAAGTAAATTCATCTCAATGTCGATATCGGTATAGTTTATCGGTGAAAATTATCCGACGATAGCACTATACAAACTTCATCAACAGCGGAGATACAAGCGTCAAGCGTTGTAACCAAGACGTTAAAAGCACGAACGAGGATCACCGCGCCGTTTCATATAGATTTTGACATGTATAAACACATCCAGAGCTGCAAATACACATATGCGAAAAATACAGGACACGTACTATAAACTAAAAACTCGGGGAAAAAGCTGCGTGCGAAAAATTCGACACAATTTTGAATCATACATCGCGGCTGATCAATGCCGCGTGAGACTTTCTTGATAATAAATGCCAATTATAAAAAAAAACGCACAAATGCGAAAATAACTAAATGAGGTAATATGCGCGAAAAATCGTAATCCAAAATTCTCGACATTAGTGTTTAATGTTTTCTGACATCTTCGGTATCGCACACGTGTCATAATCGAGTGACAATATTCACGAGTAAGCGGGCTTATCGATTTAAATAATTGGCTTAATCAGACCGATAAATTGGACATAGTGACAATAATAATGGTTACATGCCGCGTTTCGAGAGCTTGACTCTTCGCGGCACGCTCAATTCCTGAGAAGACTATATTGTGACTGAAATAAAAAATAAAGTGCGAGTGTAATAAAAATAGGAAGAGAGCATAAGGTTAGCAAAAGATAGAAAAACGTGAACGTGGTAGAGAAACAGGTAGGCCAGCGCCAAAATAATGCAGAATGTAGGAGAAGGTGGGAAAAGAGTGCGAAAAATTTGCGGTTTCAAATAGTATGCTTGAACGATAAAACTAGATGCCGGAAGCGAGAGCGAAACTGTTAAGCGAAAGAACTTTTATCGAACGATATGTGTGTGTGTGTGTGTGTGTGTGTATGTGCGAAAAATCGAGTGTGTAAGAGAACGAGAGAAAGAAAAAGAAAGAATGATAATCCAAAAAACCATTCTTGAAACGATGCAGCCAAACGGGATGTACAGAAATATTGCTTCCATACTTAATTCCACTAAGCTTGGTAAGCTGTCAAGACTTCTTAATAAATACAAAAAAGAAGAAAGAATACATACGAGAGAAAGAGAGAGATATAGAGAGTGTGTGTGTGTGTGAGAGAGAGAGAGAGAAAGAACGAAAGAACAGATAGACAAATAGCGAAGAAGCTAAATATTATCTTTCTTAAAATAACCAGTGTCAAAATACCGCTATAATAATAAACCGATGTACAAAGATGCATCTTCGTCTTCCTCTTTACCTACGTATATTTTTTTGTTTTTGATATTTTTTGCACATAAAAGAATGATATATAATGCAATATTTCATAATATACAAAAGAATATTCATATAAATATTCTTGAGAAACTATGCTGGAGAAAAAGAGAGATATACATTTTATTTTATATAATAATGGGCACACACACATATATTATAAAAATATATATATTATTTTCTTGCTACTATAAACAGCATAAACGTAATTTTAAAAAATAATTCTAGCCATAATATATTCTTTTATGTTGATTTTCAATGAGTTAGGCGATATATATACATATTAATTCCTATTATTTCTTTAGTTTTCATGAAAGATAAATATCGAGGTACCACCGGTCTATAATTGGAACTATCAATACATCCAGTAGGTAAGTACAATAAATTAATGTTAATTATTTTATATGTAATACATATATTTCTATATTACAATCTCAAATATGTCATATTTTATCTCGACTAATAAAGTTGTCAAAATTATGTTCCTCCGCGTTTCAATGTCAGAAATATTATTGTCGTGCCTGACATTTTTTTGTTTTAAAACATTCAATTGAAATATTTGTTAAAAATAAAATTATTCTTAATTATTTATTCTTAAATCAACATATCAAAACAAATTAATTAAAAAAGACTTTCGTAATAATTAAAAAAGTATTATTTTTTCTATTAGAAAATAAATGTTATTTCCAAGTCTTTTTTCTGCTTTATTAAATTAAATTTTAATTGTTTAATAAAGCTATTATTAGATAGATATATATAAATAATATTCTGAATAAATATTTATTGTTCTCTCTGGAAAGATAAACAAAACCGCCTGCATATATAGTGTTTATCTTTTTTTTTGCAAGATTTTGATTTTAATCAGATCCATGTCAGATTCCCTACAACTTATCGTACACTTATCGTACATACTTATCGTACGTTAATTAAAGCAAAATAAACACTCTTATATCGTATTCATTATAATCTCATTAATTCCAATGATAACTAGCAAAAATTTCTTTTGTTCGTAATTAATTCTTCCATGATACAGAAATTCAAATACAACGAAAAAAATAATCAATTAAATATAAATAAAATAATTTTAATAATTTTTTATAACTACAAGATGAGCCAGAAAAGTGATCGTTTTTTAAAATATTAATAGATTTTACTGCAGAATTATCTAAGGCGCTAAAGATCCGTTGCTAAATTGCAAGATCTCGAATTTACACAAATGTAATTTTGTAGATAATTTAAAGCATTGCCCTTTTACCATAGCCGGCGGGAAAATTTCCGAACAACGATAATAATAACGAGTCGAGATGGCAATAAGGAAAAACGATACCTAAGAAGTATATTGAGTACGATTCTGTAAGATGGGCAACCTTGGGCCTCAGTTTAAATTTTCTATAAAACAACTCATCGTGCAACTAGGAAATTTAATCACCGTATAGCGACCCTCGGTTCACCCCGAAGCTACGGAATTGGCAAATTCAGTAACATCTTGCAGAAGTTCGTTATCCCTTGCTCTCCTCTGTGCAAGTCGGTTTACCAAGACGCCTGTACTATTTCGTAATATTAACTTCATCGATGAAAAATAGAATTCAGTTTGGAACTCATCTGCATATATCGATTCTAGTACAATTGTTCTCTTTATATGCGAATACTGTATGGTGCATGTTATTGCACTCAAATGGCCAGTGATTGAGCAGAAAAATCATCAAAAATAAAAAAAAGGAGTAGAGAAAAATATATCGCAAATTAACCTATGCGTATAGATAATACTGACAACAGCATAGACAATATTACAGTTTCTCGTAAAAAACATTAAACAAGTAAATTTGTAAAAATAAAGCAAATATCTCTCAAATAGAATACTGCTAAAATAAAATAAAAAATAAAAGCAGTAAAAATTTATCCAATAACATATAATTATAATGCTATATTATATATATGCTCTCCGAAATAATAAATACATTATAAAAAATTATATACATATAGAAAATTATATAAATAAAGAAATATATATATGTATATATATCTTTATTTATTTATTTATTAAATTATAATTATAATTATATAATTTGATATTTTTTAACAACATTTCGTATTTTAAATCTTGAACTTGGTTAGAATTTTAATTGCACTTGTACCGCATCACTTTGTATTGACATATGCAATAAAAAGTATATTGCAATTTCGAACTCAATTGCACATCGATCCCAACACAATTACTCTTTTCCCATCGGGAGATTGCAAGCTACATTGTTACAATGCAATATATGCCAATCATTATAGTACAGAAGTGCGCACGTGAAAAGATTAGTACTCATCTTCTACATGAATAATAGCAGAAATGTGAAATATGCAATGAATAAGATTATTTTGCATACAAATAAAAAAATTATTCTAATTTTTCAGATGTTCTGTAATACATGTGAAATAATAAAAAAAATTACATATATATATTTTTTTCTTATAATGTATTTATTATTTCGGAGAGCATCTCTCTTTCTTATTTATCTCTTATTTTTAAATTATTTACAGCAAATTTCCGAAATTGCTTAATAACGGAAACAAATTTTTTTGTTTTTAATAATCTTAACAAATACTTGACTACGTATAAAATGTTTCGTAGGTGAATATGGTGTAAAGCACTTTGTACACAAGTACCTTTGATTAAATGTACATAATTATGTACGCTGTGGTAACGCAGTAGCGTTTCCCACAAACAGAAAGATATTTTGTTACGCAAATTGGTCTACGAATTCATTTGTAGAATTGTTTCGTAAATGGCAAATTCGATCAACCTACTTACCGTCCTTTGCGTTCTAATTTATTATTCATAAATTCAACAGCTTGATAAACATGCATTTTCTAAATTTATGCGTACACTGTCTATCTGTTTTATCTTTTAACTATTCAACAATTATTTGCAACAAAAAGACAAATTATTAATTGTCCCATAATCCAAATTAACTTTAACAAACTTTGCTAAATTTAAACTACGTTTTCTCAGAATGAAATATGTGGCGAAATACACAAAGCATTCCTCGTAACATTAATTCTAATAGAATCGAAATTAATATCAAAATAATGTAAAAATAAAAAATTCTAGAAGCAAACGCGAAAGATTCTAGAAGTCTTAAAAATATATATTACATTGAAAAGCGTTAAAAATATTGTATTTTTTCAAAATATACATTTCAAAACATACATTTTTAATAAAACATATATATTTTTATATTTTTTAATATTTATTAATATTTGTGAAACTTGTATTATAAATATTATTTTCATGAATAATTAATACTTAAAAATCATGAAAGATATTTTGTATATAAATACAACAAAAAGTACCTGACTCGAATCAATTATCCATTATTAGAGATAGAGTTAGCTGAACTAATCCTTACGACCGACACAGAAGCACGAATGTTTGCCGTTTCAGCTAGATAGTAAGAGAAACGTAACTCTCTCTCTGAACACAGTAGCATTGATCGAGAGCCACGTCCTCTATGACACTTTCTGTACAAAGGAGAGAGCACCGACACGACGCTAAGGTAAACTAGGTCTTCATGGTAGGAGAAGCAGAGATCCTCTTCATCTCCGATCACCGCAAACCGCCACCCTTCTCGTTGTGCTCTTTCCGATCGTACGTTCCGCAAGCTTTGTGGTCGTTTTATTTGTTTTCAGTCTCATCCTGTGTTTCTTTCCACGGAATTTTACAATGATCTAATATTAACTAACATTTACATAATTAGTACGTCAAAAATATATCTCTAATTTTTATTAACAGAAGGAGCGTAGGCCTCAAAATGATTAACAATCTTCATTCAATTTAGAAACAACTTCTAATTATTCTAATATTCGAATCTATCTAAAAAAAAACAATACGATATATTGTATATACAGAATTCATATATAATAATAAAAAAAAAGTTTTTGAAATAAACTAGAAAAAAAATATTTAGCAATAAAATACGAAAATATATATTTTATACAATAATACTTCTGCAAATGCGTCTCATTCAGAAAATTTATAGGGATACATTTGAAATAAAATACGAGTAAGACAATTGGAGAAAAAAAAGAGGATTTTTGCGCTGGCCATGTAGAAAGAAAATTCCTACTACAATACTGGAACTTTATGTTAGTTTTACTAATTTCGCAAACGTTTATTTCGTTTTAAAACTTTTTTTAGTTAGTAAAAGTTTTTTTTATGGCTTCACTATTTTTTTTTAATATAAAAATATGCAAGTTAATCATACAAGCCAATAGTACGCCTTAGATAAAAATTATTGAAGTAACTTTTATCTTCTCTAACTTGTTCTAAAGAGAAACACAAAAAAGTAAGCGCGCTAATAATAATAATAATAACAAAGAGAGATATCCACGATAGCGATGCTCCGTTTCGATGAAAAATATTGCATGAAAAATTTTGATATATTATAATTTAGATATATATTAATTATCGCAATATTTTATCACAATTATCCAGCAAGAGTCGAAAAATCGAAATTCAGATTTTTACATTTATAGTACTGTAGGAAATTTTATTAATTAAATAAATGTACGCGTAATAGTCAATAGCATTTTGTATGCATATTTTAATCGCATATATGTCAACCGCGTGTGTGACAGATAAATGTAAATTCCTCCTTCCTGAATATGCAATGTTTCAAAAGCTTGCCTGCGCCAACGATCGTTACTTTCTACTATACTTTTTAGAAATGATTGACGAGCTCAAGCGCCGAGGCTCTGGAAAATAATTAGCTATACTAATTGACTCCATTATTTACACGGAAATAATCTTACCATCCCCGACTAAAAATTTAAATTACAATGACGGCTTCAAAGGGAGACTCGCATAGATACATAGACGTTCATATTCGTACGTAGTGATGGTAAAATTGCTCTGTTGACTGTTAGAATAATTGAAATGAATCGTTGTGGAAATACCTTTTTTATATCTTTTTGTTT